TTAATTAAATGTTCTTATGTTAGAAAGGAACAGAAGTTTGATTTTTAAAAGCCCATTAAATCAGCAGACATTCTTTTGTGTAGTTTAGTGAGCTCTGAGTCAAATAGATACTAGCCAAATGACAGTCAAGGTTTACAGATAAGAGCTCTTATTTATTCAAGTCTCTCCATATTAACTAAGAAGATACAAGCACAAGCAATATGGGAAGAACCATCAGGTTCAGATTCCTGCTGGCAATTGCAGGAAGAATCCAGATGTCTTGTGTAAGAGAGTAAGGAGAGTAAGGAAGGTAAGAACAAAATTTCAGTCCCCACCAAAGAAACGCATGACAATTTGTCTTGAGCTGTTCTATAGAGGAAACCCTTCCTGACACCAAATCTGACCATTGGTTTGTTTTATGGTAACATCTAGAGGCGTCAAGCAAGTATCAAGAATTTAGTGTAAAATGTACCAGAAACACACAGCAACAAAGTAGCCCACGAGTCTAGGAAAATATACATTTATATCTGAAAAAATATATAGTTCACTGAAATATCCCTGGAACACATCTTAGGCAGGTTTCCATACCTCAGAGATAAGGATGTCCGATTCAAATATTAACTGCCAGTCTCAATATAGGGAAGTTTTTGTTAAGTTTTTAGTACATTTTGAGTCTTAAAAAATAATCTAGACTTTCAGCTTAACTTGAAAGCATGACTGAATGTATACAAGACTGAAAGAAGTCCATGCAAATGTCTGTCATGGCAATCATTTTGTGCTGTTGGTTGCACACCAATGGTGTTAAGCTGCCTTGCTAAAGCAAATATCCTAGTGGCAAATTGCTTTAAACTCCCCTGCAAGACAGTTCAGTTACTGTGATTTATTTTAATTTAGATTTGTGTAGCAAGTACTTTTCGAGAAGTGTGCCTAATAGACCATTAGAGTTTTCCCAGATAGCTGTGGTGCTTCAGCACCTTCATCCTTCAAATGTCTTCTTTATTTTCAGTCTTCTTTCAGCAAATTTGTCTCTTGCACTGAGAGGTAAGTGACATATGGGCCACATGATACCTTTGAGGATGATGCCATTTTTAAATAATAGCTTTTGGAGTCTCACTGCCATGCCAGAGTACCAGAGGCAGGTATTAGCAGGAGGTTGTCACATACTACAATATATGGAACACACAAAAAAATTCTTCATCTGATTTGTTTCTCATGTTCCTTTGTAGTGAGTCCATCAATTGTTTTCAGGTGACTTTTGTAAATTCCACACATTCATCGAGCTGGAGTTATCATTTTCACAGCAAACAGAGATGCTTGCCTGTTCTGGATCACTTCCCTTCCTAGCAGTTTTATTTACAGTTGATTACTTCCCTAAGATAAAGGAATGGTCCTTACTGACTTTGAAATTGCTATCTGCCAGAGTGACTCTAAGCTCATCATGCAAAAACTCCCAGAAAATGAATTAGCAGGTATAGCAAAATCGCTGGAAATCATTCATCACTATGGCAGACCTGGTGTAGGATATATTTAAGATTTAGTGGATATGGACCAAGAAGAGTGCAATAAATTGGAAAATTCAGAATCACAAATCTGCTATTTGGAATGTAAGAAATAAGATGTTGGAGCATGAGAACACTTATCTTCAAGCCCCCACAAACCAAATACACATCAGATAAATCATGGAATCTATGGACATATATACTTCTTAATAAAACCATCCACAGAGCACAGACAACCAAATCCAGCTCTTACTTCCCCCTCCCAGGTCTCACTGCATTCAAACTACTGATTTTCAGCAAAACCAGCAGGGTTTAATTCGAGATGGCAGCCTTGGGTACTTTTCCTGCAGTCAATTCACTTCTTTCAGACGAGGGAGATGTCAGAGGCAGAGAGAATCAGGATGCCAATTTAAGTGACCGTGGAGCTGCTGTTGCTATTTGTTAAGCCTCTCTGATGGAGGACTAGATTTGTTTTGGCACTGAATTTCAGAAGACTCTAAAGGGAAGACAATAATCTAAACCAGACTGTCAAACTCTTGTTAGGCTTTTCTCACCAGTCCTGGAACAAGTATGACTCACCAGCAAATAGCACATTCACTTAAGTGAATCCTCAGCACAGTACAGGGAATGCATATTGGGTGCACAGTTCTTTCCAAGGGTTTGGGGCTTTTATCTTTCTGCTTTTTGTGAAGATGAACTGGTGTCTTCATTTGCAAAATACATGTAAAAGTGTGTCACCTGCTATTTTTCCAAAAAGTTACCAATTACACAACATAGAGTAATAGTTATAGTTATTATGGGTAATAAGGTATTCTAATATTGTTGGTATCCAGCTGAAAATCTCCAAAATCAGTCTCTTCAACTGAGGCAGTAATTTTGGGGTGACAAAATGCATTGTGACACTGAACATCTTCCTCTCATGCTTATGGCTGTCATCTAATTTTGCACTTAAACAATGAATTGGCTGAAACATCCCTAACACCAAAAGGAGAAAAGAGATTGGCAGTGGGAAACAATATTAAATGTGCAAAGTCCACTTCTATTTGTTCTTAGTGCTATGCTTTTAACACTGTGGTCAGACATGTAAAAGAAAACCCTGAGAATTTGCCACAAAAGACAAAACCAGAAGAACTTTACAATAGAATACTTTATTTTAGATACTGCAAAATAGAAACTTGGTTACAGCTTGAGAGCATTAAAAACTCCTCAAACTTTAAATATTTTATTTGCTATTAACTTACTGAAAACAACTAAGAGTACATAAAAATGATGCTAGCATCTACTTAATTCTAATTGAAAACATAAGTCTTTGTTTCCTATTGACTCAAGACAGCAGTGCCGCCAAGAGACATTTCATTATACAATATAGTCTTGTCGTTTTATAAAAAACTCCAACAGATTATTTTAATTGCTTTGCATAATATGAAGAGAGAAACGACACTTGCAAACAAGAGCCAGACTCAAATGATACTGACATTTCTCTGAGAGGGTTTCTGGGACAGGAAAAAGACTGCTAATTTACATTTTCATTTTCTAACCGTTCTGAAGCTGCTGATTGTCAGAAGCTGTAACATCAACATAAAGCTGCATAAAGGTCTTTTGCCAGCTACCTATCAGGCATTTCTGTACAAGCCACCTCAATACCCAGGCTACCAAAGGTTTCTTTTCTTATTCTGAAGAGGATTTCTCAGTTTTCACCTGCCTCCTTTCCTCATAAACATCTATGTTGATATTATGGTTAAAAAAACCTGTTTCCTAATCCTACAAGACAGTTCTGAAAGTATGTGTTCTCTTGCTTCCCAGAGGTATGTTATGCTTTCTAGGTTACCAACTGAGTGAAAAAAACTTACAAGCACAGGATTTCAAATAACAGCACATGGATTGCCAGGCCTCATCAAATCCAAGATCTATTACAGGGCAAAATTATGGTTATGTTCTCGTTTAGTTTTCCATAAAATCTACGTGTCAGATCCCATTCAATGTATTCTTGAAGAGTTCTAACACACAGGCTTATAACTATAACAGTGATATAAATCACGAAAAACAAAATAAAGATGACAAAGTATGGACAATTTACTGATTTTTAGATAATTTTTGATAGTCATGAATGAAAGCAAATGCCACAGCATCAAATATTCATACATTAGAATATTTATGTAATACACATTTCAAATATACACAGTAGTTTTGCTAGTTGAAAGTATGATAATCAAATGTAGGACTCGTTAAAAGCTGTATTTTAAATAAAATTCCCTTTACAAGGACAGTACTAATAAAGAGAAGTGCTGAAAACCCCTGTTCAGGGAAGGTTTAATTTGCATTTAGTTACCCATTGAGGTATATAGTACTAATAAATCAATATTCAACATCCAGGATTCTCAAGAATCAAAGGTAACTCAGAGGCAATCTATGGTTACACAAGTTCAGTTTCTAAAGAAGGAATTTAAGAAGTACTGGATAACTTCATATAAGGTACCAGCTGAAAATTGAGAGTTATATTTAAAGTTAGTTAATTCAATCTAAATCACTATGCCAAATCTGTTACACAAACACCTTGCAGAAATAAAAAACTAGAGTTAATTATTTTTATTTTTTTAAAAAGGGTGTATAACATTAAGTGCATTTGAATCAATATAAAGAGCTTTTTGGAGGAAAAGTCTGCCTCTAACTACACTTCCACAAAAATGAGATTTAACACTATTTCAATACACAGAAGAGTAGTTATGTGGTTAAAGGAGATTCCACTTCTCTCTCCTGAGCTGACAGAGTTGCAGTTCTGCTCCTCCCCAGTTTGCTGCCCTCTACTATTCTCTTCCCCACTCACATTTTGGCTTCATGCACATTTTCCCTCCAAGGTCAGCTGAATACATTTGCCTTAACAGCAGCATTTCTTATTCCCCCGTCTTTAATTCAAGCTCCTTCTTTGCAGATACTTCTACTTTCCTGCCTTTTGAGCTCACTTTACTCTCCAATTCCACCTGAGATACACATACCTAGTGTTCCTTCCCATCCTCTCTGTCCTTTTGTCCTTAAGTATTTACAAGTCTCAAGTATTTTAGAATAACAGTTTTGTATATGCATAATTTCCTCTAAAATAAAATTTCTTTTGCATATGCTACAGGCATTTATCCCATGGAAAGTACTAAGACAAGATCTTGATTTTTAGAGTTAGCAAGCTTAGGAGTATCTCTGTGATAATTTCCTCCCAAACTAATTCTTACAGGTGAAGTTTTCAAAAATAAAAAAGTCTTCCTACTAAGGTCTACTACATAAAAAAAGGTCTGAGATAAAATTTCAGCCAGAGGAACTCAGATATTTGCAGAACAGAATGTCTATTTTTTTTCTTTCTTATTTCTATTACATTTTCTATTGAAAACAACAAAAATGCACACTTTGTTATGCACTTCCAGAAAAACATTATAAACGCAAATTACATGCTATTTACTTATTAAGTCTCTTTAGACAAGTCTTCTGAATCAGAGAAAAAATTTAGAAAGCAAGCAAAAGCAAAGGTAACCTTACCTTTTCATCATCATCAGAAAAAGGGGCACCTCCTGGGGTCTTATTTATTGCTTGGGCAACACCAATAATCTCTCCATCACTGTTTCTTATGGGCATGCACAAGAGTGACTTTGTCTTGTATCCAGTCAGTTTGTCAATCTCATCATTAAAGCGTCGATCCTTGGAAAGGAAATAAGGAAACATTAACATGCATTTCATATATCCAAGCTTTCTTCAGACAGCAAAGTACTTTTCTCAATGTCTGATATGGTATTTTTCAGTAGCATTAGGCTGTTGCTTCTCTGTTATCAGCCCATTCTTTATTAGCTGTTTTTCCTCACTTTTCTCAGGGGTTCAGTACAAGATTTACCATTACATACTCACATTCACTGAATCCCCAAATTTCTACCTCAATTAGAAGGATGCCAGCAAAGACTGATATCTGCCATTAGTAATGTGACCATACATGCACACTTCTGCTAGGCCCTGCTGCCATTTCACACCCATACTCTGTAGATGCTCATGATGTTTCTCTCAAGTAAATGAAGACTCTTTTTGGCCCGTTTCTGTCTGTTCAAGTAAGACTTGTTATGTATGGACTGGTATTCCAGTGCAGTACAAACATGTCCTCAAAGAAATACAGTCAAAACCTCAGCTCTTTCTGGAAAACTAAATGCAGGAATGTCCCTGTTCAAAAAAGGCACTGTGCAGCAATCCATTTGCTGGAAGAGTAAAGCCCAAACTGCAGATCATAAAGTAACTCAAAGGAGGCTGAAAACTTAAGAGGTAGTGCTGACATTACTTTTGTTCACCTTGGTAGAGCATAGTCTTCAACAGCTCTTCTATCAGCCTGAGAGGAAATTGCTGCTTTTCACTGGCAGCAGCTCTGTTCCTCCAGGGTGAAGTTAGCATTGTGCTGCAGGCAATAGTTAAAGCCAGCTCAGACTCTCCTAACATGAGGGAACTAAGCTGTGGTACAAAATTAGGCACAACTTTTTCTTTTCAAAAGTTTAAACAATATTGGCCTTGAAATAATGCCCATATTTGTCTCAAGTCATGAAAACAATCCACAGTCCTTAATTTGATTGTGATGAGGAACTCATTAATTTTTTACTGATATTAAAGCTGACAATTTTATATCTATTTCTATCTCCCTGTTGTAAATTCCAGATGCTATAGAAATAGTCTCTTCTAGTCACTTTGTGGCATAATTCAGAAATGCTCTATTTTTACCCCTTATAAAGATTAACATATACATTTGGTTACTTTATTACTTATTGCACATTTTCCAACATCTCAACCAGAAGGCATTAATACCAAATGTACCCAACAACTTCTTTGGGAGAACCAGAACTTTCATGATGGATGTTTTTTAATAACAGCATCAAGGATGCAGATCTGCCTGATCTTGTGATCTTTCTATATGCTTCTAAACACTTTTATATCAAGTTCAATACAAGCTGAACTGTTCTGCACCGTAGAGAATCCTGCTTAGAAAGATACAGTTCTTCTACAACAGAAGAAAGGAAAATGCAGTGCAATTATCACACAGTAGGCTTCACTAATGAATAAATTAAATATTTCTTCCAGTACTTTCTGGCAATGTCTGAACTACTATCTGGAATTAGTTGCCGTTGCTGAAATATTGGTAAGATATTTTGTGCTACTGGAGAGACAGTCCCTGCTCTACTAATTTTGTACCAAGCAAAGCAGAGCACATGGGGAGAACACTGAAAAAACAAATGTGCCTTGAGTAGAAATACCGTTGTTGATTGACACCAGTGGGCCTTACAAAAAAGTAAACCTTCAAGGGGCAGTTTAACTGAAAAAAACAGCTGTTGGTCACACCAGAAGTGAGTTGAGATTTTCTCATCTGAATACACTCCATGCATGTGGTATATGTAGTCATTGCCTTTTCAACAGGCCTCGAGATTAACATAAAAAGTGCTGTTTGATCTGCAGGGCGTGGTGGCACACAGGACCTGTCTGAACGAGATACACACAACAGCTGCCCCTGTTAGCAACAGATGTAATGACCAGCTATGGAGCCACTGCTCCTTAATGGATGCTGTGGAGTAGCAGAGACACAAGGGGGATTAGCAGTCTGAAAAGTGCTGGTGTTTCCTTTAATGTACAGCTCATTCCTGCTGCATTGCTTCTCTTTTCAGGCAGATCATGGAAGTTTCCTCTTGATATCTCTCTCTCTCTCTGGAACCTCTATACTAGGAGGAAGCAGGATATCAGATTATATCCACTGATGCTAGAGAACTGGATGACCTTTTGCAGAAGGGTATTACATCTTGGAGCCAAAACTAAAGGTACAGCAGTCTAAGATAAAGTTAATGAATTTAATTGGAAAAATGAGATATTATTGAGAAAAAACTCAATAACTTGGTAAAAACTGGGAATCATCAAGATGTGAAATGAACCTACCCCTAAATCCTTTGTGGAAAAGCATGCCAGAATTTCATTTGAGTGACATTTGAGAAAGTGATAAAGAGAGATATGTAAGTGAACAAAATAAAATGCTGCTCCTGGCAACATTGATATTGTTAAACCATGCAATATGCACAGAAAACAGTGACTGGATGACCTGCATTATGTTCCAAACCTCTTGTCCCCACACTCTCTTCTTTCATCATTTATTGCCATAATAGGACATACGTAGCAGGATCTAAGAAAAAGGTTTTACCAAGTTTAACAGTACCAATAAAAACTTTAATGCCCAGGTGTGTACTGTGATGGCCAAGAATGGACAAAATTTATACCTCTCTCCCCTCATAGGGTAGTGACCTTGAGCAAGGAGACCTGTTTAGAAGCTGATAACAAACCCGGTAAGTCAGAGAGAAGCTCTGTCAGATTGCAAACATTTTGAGATATAAGCTGCATTATCCCACGTGTTGGAGCAGCCTGCAACACAACAGGGTGCTCGTTTGCACCAGGCTCCTGGGGAGTAAGGAGTTTCAGGGTTTATGACAGCAATGCAATACTTCCTTTTAGGTTTTTTACAATTAAGACATACATTCAGAAATCAGGGGCAGACTAAATAAAAGCTTTTGAGAGAGAGAGACTTCACCATAATTGTAATTGTACTTACACTATTTTCATGCAAGGAACACTCATGAATTAACATCTTCCAGTGACTGTTTAAAGCATTACTAAATACTGCTTTGGTTCCATATAATGAGTTTTCTACACAGAGATATTAAAAATGTGAAGGCTGAGGCACTTTTAACTGGAATTTCACATCTGCCACCAAGGAAATGTTGCTCCGTAGGACAAAACCTATCCCAGTCTTAAGGATATTTAATTGGTTGTAAATGTTACCCTGTGAAAGGTGAATGAAGTAAAAACAAAGAAGACAGCAAGTGTGATCCATCAATCCAAGTGCTGGTAATCCAGTTACCCACACAGGAACAATCCTGTCCCAGGCATTTGGACATATTTGAAGATTGCCAGTGAATGAGAACAGACAAGCATCCCCATGGTTTTGTTCTGTAGAAGACCAGATTAAGGTGCAGAAATGGTTCTTTTTTCCCATTAGGGTTCTAGAATCATATATTATCAGAATCTCAACTTTAGTTGAAAGTTTTGGTTTCTGAGCAGTTTTACCAACTGCCTTTTGGTGTTGATTTTCAGTTGAAGTTGGTAATACATACATTGTTAGCAAACACACAAGTTTCACTGTGTTTTTCTGTTTTCTTCAACATAGGATAACTCTTTGAACTTGAAAACTTGTCTTTTTATAACTTTATCAAAACTAGTACATTTTATGTGAGCATTATTATAATTATTTAAAACAAACAAAAAAAGTTATAACCCTAACCCAATTTACCTAAAATCAAATGGAGGATGAAATCTGCTTGATAACATTTCCAGGAATTAAGTCTTCATGACAAAGCCACTTCCTCTTTCTTTAGTATCTAAGTAAAAGTGTTTAATCTAGTGAAATGCACCAAATGCCTCAGCCAAAGTTGACAGCTAAAAGAGAAAGCCATTTTTGATTTTTTGATTTTTCAAATCTTTTCATGACACTACAAAAAATGTTCAATTATCAAGCCTATTCTATTATATTTTACCATTTACAGCACCATTTTTTGTTGTTGCTTTGGGTTTTTTTACTTTAGAAAGGGCTCTATTAAAAAAAAAAAGGCACAGAAACTTGCATCAAAATTTCCTGGATTATACTGTATTTAAATTACTGATTTAAGTTGCTAAGTTGCATCAAAAATAACTAATATAAGTATTGTGACAGCATCGTTAATACCTGAGTATTACTGTAGTACCAAACTGCATGGGATAGACAAGTTTGAGTGAATTTATAGAAAACCTTCCTCCAAGAGCCATTACAAAAACAAAGAAATGGAACTTGGAAGATTTCATAACTAGATTCATTTTCCTAATCACACTTCCTGTAAGTATAATACATAAGCTTTTATAGAAACAAAAAAGAGCAAGAAATCTAAAAGAGCAATCGAAAAGACAGCAAGTTCTCTAGATTCAAAGCATAACATTAAAAAGCTAAATACAAATAAAAAAAATTAGGGCATGCAGTCTGTTCTAGATACACTTTTCTAAAAATCACATATGGTGCAAATTACATTGTGCATAAACAGGAAACAAAACCCAAGCAATAAACCACTAAAGGAGATAAGGGGAAAACCTTGTAGACAAAAAACTCGCACATAACACAAGTAATAAAGCAGTCTCTGAAGAGATTTCCATGTAAGGATTGCTGCAGCTATTCCTGCCATCTCCCCCAAAATCCCTAAGTTCCCAGAGACAAAGGCAGCAGGAGAACAAATAAGTACCAGGCAGCAGCATTGCAAACCTAATTCTCCCAAGTAAATAAGCAGAGCCCACTTATCACTATTTATACAGTGATGGCAATATTACTTATAACAAAAAAAATACTACAACAGATAGGACACATGAAACAGCTCAGCCAACTTATTTCTTTATTCCCAAAACAATTCTTATAAAAGGAGAGAACATTGATTCTCAAAAATTTTTAAGTTCCAGATTTGAAACTAAGACCATATATAGTCTGAATTTATAAAGTAGTTTACTTTGAAAAAATTGAATAGTTGTTGAT